TACAGTATAACTTCCTAATATATTAAAGTTATCATCCTAATATATAATGATCACCAAGATCATAGACTTCACACTGATGCTGATAAGATCTAGTGTTGGCACTGGTGTTGGCCCTGATGCTAACGTTGGCGTTGGCGCTGGTGATTAGTGTGTAGTGTTTGACTTATCAGATCATAAAGTGTGACCTTACAATCTCCCCTATCTGATGATGTCAAAACTAATCTTCAATAAATTCTTCAGCTTGTGCTCCCCCTGAGAATAATAACTTTCTTTCTTGTGTTTTTGAAACTATCTCCCCTTAAGAAGGTGTATGACTTTTCCCCATTTTGGTTATCAGCAATAGAGGCAGTAAGAGCAGTGGAAACAATCAGCGTATCATGAGTTAAAACCGAATGATAGATGATAGAATGTTGATATATGTTCCCCCTCAGATAAACAACATATGAGATCTACTCCCCTTTAGGTAAATAACCTTCTTCTTTCAAGAGTGTATGCTATTGTATGAATCATCAAGTGACAACATAGTAGAACTAAACATTTCTCACCCTTTTTTACAGCATCAATATGGTACTAGCGGAAGCAATCATAATATCTGATTTACTCCATCAGTGGATCAAGAATGCAGCTAACAATCAAGTGAGATTATGATTTTTCTTGATAGTATGGGTTTGAACTATCATTCACTAACATAGTGTTGTGAGGTTTCATCAGCATCAATAATCACTGCCTGCTTTTTGGATTTTTTTAAAGAAGAGAACAAGTAACCTGAAATAAAAAGAAAATATCAAATAAAGTTAAATGATAGGATAGACGTATCACAATATTGTGTTGTTGCAATAGTAGATCATTTGCACATAATTGTGAAGTCTCATCAGTTCATGGTTTTATACGCTGAATCATTAAATTCTTTTATTAGAAGAGTAAAGGGCGAGAGTGGAATGATGTGTGTAATACATTTTGATATGGAATGTACCCATCGTCATAGATTTTTCAAGTTCTCATCAGTGTCTGGCGTTTGACACTGAATCATAAAGCTTTTAATAAGAATAATAGCGCAAGAATTGGTTAATGTGTGTGATAAACTACGTTACATAGTCTAACCATCGGCACAGACTTTCGAACTTTTATCATTGTATGGTTTTACATAGTGAATCATCAAGTTCTTATAAAGAAGACTTGTGGGAAAGAAGTTGGTTGTCTCAATCATGCCGACATGAAATCAACGTGAATTATTAACAGTGATAACCCATCAGCAAGAAGTGATTTAATCCTTGCATCATAGAGTTAGTTGTAGTATAGAATCAAAGATCCACCATTAATTCGTTTAATGGTACCATGTCATACCTCAGTCTAGGAGGTCAAGTACATGAATAACCCTTTGTCATTTACGGACCAGACAAGTATCTCTTACGTTGATAACTACGCAATCAAGGCAAGCCACTGGGTTATGCTCGATGTTTTAGTAGAACATGAGACTTGATGCATACGGCAAGCATGCTTCCATGGACGAGAGACATGTAAGAGACGATTAACCAAGAAAATAAACACCCAATCTTGGATACTGCCTCATAATAACTTCAGTAGTAGCGTGTAGAACAACCTTGGTTACTGCCTCTCCAGCTTTTACAAGCTTGGATGGTTTGCTCTCAACCCCTGGCACCTCCATCACATCAGTATGCAGCACCCCCAATATGTCAAAATGTTCAAACTCCAAAACATCATTCTCGACAACCCGAACACCCATTCTACCCTTCCTGATCTCACGCTTCTTGATATGTTGGTCAAGCAAATCAGCCACACCACATAGGGTAACATAATTATGCTCATGCCTAAACACTTCTCCCACTTCACACTTTTTTTGGTTAGATTACCTGCATACTTGAGGTACCCCACCTGTAAGCAATCACTATCATATACCTCAACTTTCATCGTCTTCAGTTTAATGTCCTCCTTAAGCTTCTCAATTAGAGCTGGCGGCAACTCCATATTATCAACAAGTTCGGTCTTTATAAATTCATTCTTAACCGCTTCCATTAAAAAGCCAAAGGGTCAATAATCAAAGAAACATTTTCATCTATTATTGAATCAATCATAAATGGCTGCTCCTGTATATCAGATTCTTTCTGGTGAAGAATCCTATCACCAATCACTTCAAATATGCCTTCAGATACAAGATTCCTCGTAAACAACTCATTCATAAAGTTGGTATCATCTTTCAACATAGTCACAACCATTATATTGTTTGAGTGGATTATGGAATTCAAGCTTGCAATTGTCACCTCATCCAATACTCTACGTAAAACAACATCCTTTAGGTAACTGACTCTATATGCTTGATGCATCTTTGATGAATCTATGGAATTCTTAATTGGTATTGCATCGTTAAATACATGTGCTTTAAGTGAGTTGCGATGGCAGATGTGTGGGACATCAGGGTCATATTCAAGACATCCAACAATGTCCATTATTAGTTCATCATAAAATATTTTCTCAAGGATCTATGGACTACTGAGGATGATCTGTTTGACAGTTTTGTATATTATGTGAAGGTCATCATAAATCTCCAAATCTTCACATACTCTAAACAAATCCCTCAGCTTCCGGAAATATTGTTGATCATCTAGAATGAGCTCTATCACATATAACTGATTCGTAATGCTACTGTCCACCACAACCGTAATAATAGAAGGAAGCGTTGACAGCTCTATCTCAGGCAAATCCCTCCATTCGCCGTTGGCACCAGGATATGTCTCGTCTTTATAAGTTTCTGAAGGATCATTTATCTCATGATGCCCCACTTCTTATTGAAGAGTCTTAATTTCAAAATCATGTACGATATCTATCGCCATATGATTGATCTTGGGTGAAACGGTGAAATTGAACACCGGTCGAGTTGATGATGAAATGTGTGATTGGAGCGAAAACTCCCTGTTTGAGGTTGAATTGAGGATCAAAGAAGGTGGTGCTTGCGTAAGAGACGGTGGAGCAATCACCGATTGTGATTAATTTGGGTATCGTTGCTTTAATCTCTAGTGGACTTGAGTTTTCTACACCCTTAACTGATTTAGTCATGACAGGGCTTGGGTTGGAATTGTTACCTTTTTCTGAATCCATTTTCTGATCTGGTTTATGTGAGTCCAAGGTTCTAATTTCGGCTCAATTGTGCATTCCGAGTACATTTTTACGAAAACCTAAAAGCACTTCTTCCCGTCCATCATCTAATGGAGCCGTTACCCCCGGACGCATGCTACTCCGATACTCCGACAGTGTCTCCACCTGGGAAACCGCGCTAAACTGTCATTCTGCTGCAACCTTTGAAGACCGAAATTGACGACGAATAAGGCCGTTCAACTCCTCCCAATCTCGTATGGGTCGCCTCCGATGCTCTCATTCAAAGAAAAGTAAGGCGTTGCCCTCTAGAGACCTCACAGTAGCTTCCATCGTTTCTCCATCTTCATATGAACATAATGACCTTTCCATTTTAAAAATCCACTCCTCTGTGTTAGTTTCATCAAACAAGAGCATCTCACGTTTGTGAAATCTCCGGTTGATCCCTCCTCTGCATTCACCTCCGGTAGTATGGCCGCCGCCTCCGCCGCCAGAACCACCTCCTGTTCCATTTTTTGAACCTCCACTGGATCCCCTACCGATAGGGTTTGTCCCTTTCGTTGTCTCCACCAGCGAAAAATCAGGGTCACTACTATGCTCTTCTCCCACTGATTTCTTTCCATTTGCTTCTTCTAAGAGACTCTTCGCTATTGCCATCAAAACCTCTTCAAACTTCTGGTCCATCTTCAGCTGAAGAAAGGCTATGGTGTAAGCGTTATGTTGGATCAGGTGCCCTTGATTCTCCATTCGCTTGTACAAATGCCCTAATTCTGTCTCTAGCAACCCAACCCTCTTGAGTTGAGCTCTTCCAGCCTCCTTCTCTCCTTTATCTCCAGCCCTAATCCCAGATGACTGCTCCGCTCTGATACCATTTTGTTATGAACTGGATTCTAAGAACCGATTCAATAACACATAAACAATCAAAGACTCTAATACTGATTGAAAAACACTCGATAATACCAAATGATTACAAGAATGAAGATAGTTTAGCTTTTTCGAGATAGCCAATCTCCTAATAGGAATGAATTCCAATTTTCACATAAAAGATAGATACCTCACTCCCTGGCCGCTACCCTCTTCTTATACTATCTGACATAATAGCTAATTACTCTAAAATGTCTAAAATGCCCTTAAAGCCCTTGAACTAATAAAATTCTCTTTAGTATGTTGATTTCCTATCTTTTACCCCTTTCTATAATGTTGTACGTGAGTGACTGCATAACAGCTTGTTGTAATCTTGTTATTGTTTGACACAAATTGGACGATAATACCCTTGACTATCACATATAGCTACTTTGCTTCAGTTCTCGATGGACCCATGAGACTTCCTGTTTCTTGACGAATAACAAAGAAGGATTATAGTCTAGCCCACTTGATCTATTTCAGTTTGCTTAATTTTTTTTATTTAAACAACCCACCTAACAATTAGTGCAGAATCCAGAAATACCGATAATGCCCTTGTTAGACCCATGCCAACTTTCTTTTGTTCTTTTGATTTTGTATCCTATGTTTTTGATTTCTTTTGAGTTTGAAATGTAAAAACATCATAAAAGACCATACAATCCCTTAAGACCAGAGGGAGTGGGTGCGGTCTGGGCCGCACTCCACCCGCCACATCATCTCGCACACCGCCCCCTAGGTGCGGTCTAGGCCACACTGCGGCCTTCCACGGGTGCACTTCCATTTCTCTTTCTCCTCTTTTAATTGCTCTTTCTCTCATCTCTCAACCAATGATTTTTCTTTCTTTTTCTTTTCTTTTCTCTCTCCTAACTGTTTTTCCACTCCCACCTTGTGGTTTCAAATTGATAAAATGATAAAAAAAAAAAAATATGAGTTGACATCTACATGGTATAAGATGGAGTGCGGTTTCAGTGACACCACTCCCTCCAACCTAACAGCCCATAATGAATCATAATGCAAAAAAGAGTAAAATAAACCATTATGAGGACAGACCACGCTGGAATGAGTCTTGACGAGAGTTTGTACCTCTATTGCAGCTTTAATAGGAGTTAGAACACCAAACCATAGAGATTGACCTTCCCTTTTGTTTCCTTTTGTTTGGTGACAACTTTATCTTTATCATAACCCACACAGCGACTTTCTTCAACTATTAATGCACCCACCTTTAGTTGTGTCCTGACTCCTGACTCCTGAGAGAGAATAGACTATTTATGTCCAAGCAAGGAATCACACTCCTCGAACCTTTGTGATAACATTGACCAAAAATACCCTTGCTTTTCTTGTCCTTTTTTCATAATTGTTCACTGGTGTGGGTCCCATAGCTTTTCTCTCCCAAAAGAATTGGCTCCTTAATGTTGTTCATCTCAACGAGATTGACTCCATACCAGAGACTTCGCTCATCAATTTCTGTTTGAAGAATATCTTCGTTCCCTACATCCTTCTCGACAATGAAGGTAGAAGAAGATGAATCATCGAAGTATACTTTTAGATTTCGTAGTTTTACAAAATTGAGAACAGTAAAGTAATGGAAAACAAGAACTTTTCTTGATCATGAGAAACCATCAGTCCATTTTTCCTTCTTTAATTTGTTGAGCAAAATCTATGGTAGGAAATAGAGGAGGATCTCAATCAGCCACAAACATTGTGAACCGGAACATGTTGGCAAAGCATTGAAATTTTGTCAAATAGTTTATCAACAAAATCAATTCATAAACCGAAAATATTTAGCCATCCCTTTAAAATAATGTTCATGCCATTGCATCCTTCTCACCTCGTTTATTTTTCTTATGTTGGCCGGACAAAATACCCTTATGGGAGCCTCTATTTTGCATTCTCAAAAGATACGACATATGAGATAAAAAAAAATTCCATCCATACTATGCAGCTCAAAATGAACAATAAGAATAAGGTTCTTAAGAAAACAAAGGGCTCAGCGTGAATTATTAGAGATCATAGTGTGAAGATGACACTGAAGCTATGCTTGTTGAACATTGGTGGTAACAATCGCGTGACTTTTGCAGAACAGGTTATTGACTCTCAGACTTGTAGTGAAGTTACCAAATTGCCCCTGAACATATTCATCAATACCTGTAGTATAATGACCAAACTGCCCCTTAGCACGGAACACACAAAAACTCTTGCTTTTCTGAAAAGACGTTGATAAGGATGAAGCTAGTGGAATTATGTGAAGCCAGATGGAACTTTGTGGGAGACGCATGAGATTCAACGAAAATCAATCAACGTGAATGATTAGAGATCATCAGTGTCAACTTTTGATCAGCTTGAATTGCAGTGTGAAAGACTAATGGATGAAAATCATGAAGCAGAGTATTTGAGACAAACAGATGACTAAAAACTGAATTAAGACATTCTTGAGGCTGTTGGAAGGAGACACTGAGTGTTGACAACAGCCAGCGTGAATCTTATCAGTGAGTACATTAGTATGAGACAACAAGAACTTGAAGCCAGTGTGTACTTGAGTTGAGAAAATCAGCTGAATCCAAACAGAAAGCACATCAGCATGAATGTCTTATCAACTTCAACCAAAATGCCCATGTCAGCTTCATTTGTGATGCACAACATTCACAATTTTCTTTTGATAGCACCTTGTAATTTTACTATATACAAAATATTTTAATGGCTCTTTACTTTCCTTCTTATTCTGCACATTTTTTCAAAATGCCCTTGACAACAGGTGTAATCATAGACCAACAAGCTCCATACAATTTTTTTTAACTTTTCGTTTTTAACTTCAAACTAGCACACAATGATTTCAAAGATAAAAAAAACTATACACAAAACTAAAAGAGGAAATCAAATAAAAGATATTAAAAAAACTTTACACAAATTGTGATTAGTTCAAAGATACTTACCTAGGGATATCTCTTAATAGTAGAAGGATGAACACCATGTTTTAGTATCTAAACACTCTTCTTTTTTTTCTGTGGGCTTCTGGTTCCTGTGCACCTCTTTAGCTTCTTTGGTTGCCTTCACATCAAATTGTGAACTAGGGTTTTGTGGTGACGAATTTTATGAAGCCTTTTCTTCTAAATCTGCTATCCTCTTTTTACTTTCTAGAAGTTTCCTGCAAAGAACTTCTAGGTATTGTTGTTTTTGACTGATAACTTCGTTTTTTCAGATATGGTTCAGCCTTGATGCCTTTGACATAAGAATATGGATCTTCTGGAAAGCAAGACAGAGGAGGAACAAAAGTATCTTCATTTATCTTTCCATCTGTAAATTGTTTTCTCATTTGAGAAATAGTATTTGATCCTTCAACTCATATTACATCAACCATTACTCTCCACAGAGATGAATAAGTATTGTAGCTTCTGTAATCTTTCTTCTGCATCTTTGTAATAGCCATCATATCTGATTGATGATAGTATAACAAAAGTTTCTTCTTCTCTTTTTGATTTTCTTGGTTTCTGAAAATTAGTTTTAGACCTTCTATGAAAAGATCTTAGAACAAATGTTCTAAATTGCTCAGATAACTTGAATGTATCAGAAAACCTGCTCTGGTACCAATTGAAGGATTGTATCGATCGGATACATTCAAGTATAAACAATAAAGAACAAGCAATAAAAAATGAAAAATGAACAAGATTAATCACAAAGATGCTTTCTAGTGAATACATCACAAAGACGGTCACCAAGACATTACATTAGGTTTTCGCCCAAATGTTGATTATGTATACTAATCTATTCTAGTGAATCCTTGCAATCAAGGGATTGTATATAATCTAAATAAACTAATTTATGTAAAGGTCTACTCCTAATCACTAAGATTACAGATCAGACATCTATTCTATATATACACAATATAGCTTCCTAATATACAAATGATATGTTCCTAATATATAATGATCACCAAGATCATGGACTTCACGCTGATGCTAATAAGATCTGGTGTTGGCGCTGACACTGGCACTGGCACTGACGCTGCCGATGGTGGTCGACGTGTAGTGTTTGACTCATCAAATCATAAGGTGTGACTTTACATGTCTCTCTTCATGTCTTGTCGAGGGCCAAAGTGTTGAGAATTG